AGCTCACCTCCTCCCTAGCACAATTTTAAAACAAATTATCTTCTTTGCCATGTAAGGAGGTTCTACCCACAATCAGGTCCCTTGGGGGGGACCTCAGCTTTCTCTCTCATGGAATTTATTCCAAACAAATAGAGCATTCCCCTTTCAAGAATTTCTAGTGAATATAATTCTCTCTCTCTCATTATGCTATTATTAAATTTCATATTCTTATGCAGTATTTAAAAGGAGATCTATTCTGTCTCAGCTTTGGCTGAGTCTACAAAAGCTGTGAATAATAAAGCAGGCACCCAATACCCAAAAGTCCTAGGCGGGGGTTGGAGAACTTCTGCAGAATGCAGACTACTTTAGGAGATGATAGATGTCTGTCCAGGGCTAGCCCATCACCTGTCATGAGTGTATCAAAGAGGCAAGGTGGAGGAGGGTTGTTTCAGTCCTGACATTGATTTCCTGGCCCGTGGGGAATGGAGTGGATTTATCTCTCTCACTTTGAACTGTGTAGGACGAGCTTTAAGGTGCCCCGTGGAATTTGGCAACCTAGAGGCTGCTGTTAGATCTTGCCAGGAAAAGTCTAAGGGTAGGACAGTAGGTGCAGATGAATGGGAGACCACAGGACAGTATCTGGAAAGAACTGATCATCCACTGAATAGGGGCAAAGGTCATGCTTCCCCTGGCCCCCATGTAGACCCCGCAGAAGGAGCTTGGTCTGGTCATTTTATTTTATTTTTTAAAGATTTTATTTATTTATTTGAGAGAAAGAGATCACGAGACGGGGGGAAGGTAGAGGGAGCAGCAGACTTGCCTGCTGAGCAGGGAAGCTGGATGCGGGGCTCGATCCTGGATCATGACCTGAGCCGGAGGCTGATGCTTAACCAACTGAGCCACCCAGGTGTCCTGGTCTGGTCATTTAAAAAAGTATCCTGTCCAAGCACAGTCCTGGAGGGCGGAGAGAGGGGCTATCAAATCAAATCAAGTCTCCCTGTCTCTCTCTCTCTCAAACAAATAAATAAATCTTTAAAAAAAAATAAATTAAACCTTAGGTCCCAGCCCTGTTCTGCTTTATCCAAAGATCACTCCAGCTTCAGTGCCTGTTTCTTTAAGACATGTCAATATCTCATTGAGGACAAATGACAATGTTTAATACTGTTGGAAGTCCCATTATGAAGGGGTAAAGGTTCTTCTTTAAGAAAAATTTTTATGGGGGCGCCTGGGTGGCTCAGTGGGTTAAAGCCTCTGCTTTCAGCTCAGGTCATGGTCCCAGGGTCCTGGGATGGAGCCCCACATCGGGCTCTCTGCTCAGCAGGGAGCCTGCTTCTCTTTCTGCCTGCTCTCTGCCTACTTGTGATCTCTGTCTGTCACATAGATAAAATCTTTAAAAAAAAAAAGAAAAGAAAAATTTGTATGGAACTTCTTGCTGGGGGCTTGTGCAGGGGCATTAACTCTCTGGACTTCTGGCCTGGGTCAGGTGAGGGGACTCTCTGCCATCGTCAGAAACAAAGAACCCACCATCGCTCCCAGGTCTTTGCTTTCAGCAGACTTCAGATCTTTCACATCAGGTAGGGAAGTGGCCAGGGGACAAAGGCCAGATACTGACAGTCTCTGCTACACTTGGGGCTAATACAAAACTAAAAGTCACTGCTGACTTGGGTGCCTGCGGGAAATCACAAAACCGTGTTAGTTTCCACTCGATATCGGATTTCTACCCATGTTAGTTTCCACTCGATATCGTAGTACTTTGGATCAACAGAAGGGGCAAAGGTTATGTTTAGAAACTGATACATTTGGAAGAAGGGAAGTCACTGAGATCAGATGACACTTTGTAAAGGGCATTACATCTGTGCAGTGAAATGTCACGTGTCACCAGATGAGGGAAGAAAGGATACCAGGCCAGAACCAGGGCTAAGCATGAGCCACAGGTAGGGAGGAAAGCGTGTGAATGCCTCAGCGGTTGTGTATGTGTGTAGGGGGCGTGTGAAGGAATTCACTAGGCACCGATGAGTAATCGGTCCTTACTTAGCCCTGTACTCAACAGAGTTTGAGAAATCAGAAAGATTTTCTGTCTCATTATGAAGAAATAGGTGAGGATAGTTTTTATTTTAAATGTATATTTAAGAGTAGGACGAATGATACACACGTGGGAAGATTTTCTCTTTCCTTATGACCTGTGATTCTGAATCTGGCTACCTTTACAAGCTGACAAACACCCACCAGCAAAAGCTCTATTCATTGCCAGATAACATCTAGAAATCTTTGTTCTGTCCTCTGAACAATTGTAGCAACCCAAGAATCTAATTTGGTGCCTCATAAATGGTTGTGTTCCATCGCTTGACATTTATTTCCAAATTCCACGAAAACACCAGCTCACAGGATGTTGTGTCTTTTTTTCCTACAGCATTTCTGCTGTTCCCCAGCTGTTTGAAACATGTTGTGGCTTTGAGTTCTTCAAACTACCTCCTGTGATGAAGATTACCTTAAGTGCTTGTTTGTGGAACATTCAGTCAGAGACAGAGTATGCTAGAACAATTACCAATAGGTGAAGGCTGACATTTTACGTTCTTTGTTATATCATTAGATGTTTCTTAGGACTTCTTGTTTGTCTTTTTAGAATTTTTAAAATTTTTTCTTATCAGACTATCCTTTGAAGTTTTGGGCTTACAGTTCCATTGTTTTCCTAAAGGGCCACATTGTGGCTGAGAAAAGGGTTATTTCCTTTCAAACAACATTCCACAAGGATTTATTGAGCGCCTCCTATGTGCCAAGCACTAGTCTAGATGTCGGGATACGGATGTGAACTTATCACACATCGAGGCTCACGTTAAATTTTGGAGACACTTTTTAGAGCCATATGCTACTATAGGAAAACCCCCCAAAATATATGAAAAGTCCGCACTCACAGCAATAAATAAAACAGATAATTAACCTGACTATACAAGAGGATTATTCACTTCCTTGGATCATTCAGCTTATCATTGAGAATGATGTCCTTAGGACACTTGGAAATATAATTTAACTTTACGAGGTATATATATGACTTCCGCGCGAGGCCATCCAGCTCAGGCTTCCCAGGAGCCATCCAGTTCTTGGAGGATATGGTGCATCTGGGAGCTGTTCCTCCGGAGGCCCAGGCAGGGCCATTCCTGTTCACTTCCAAGCACTCATCGCATTGACAGGTAACACTACAGGACGTATCTCTCACAGGTGCAATTCGGGCCAGAACAAGGGGAATCCCTGCCCGCCTCAGGCTGGGAACACCCATTTACCTCCTGTGAGACTTTGGGCTCTAAATCTCTTCTCTGGATTGTCCCTGGAAGCCTTCTGGTATATGTTACCCTCCAGACTATCACAGCAGGGGCTCACGTCTGTTGTCCCCGAGAGTCCCCCAGGACACACCCTCTTAGCATTCGTGCCTCCTCACCCCCTTTGGTTTGCTCCACAAAGAGCAAGCCCTTAGCTTTGGATTTAAGTGAGAAGAATCTTAGAACCGTCTCACCTCTTCTGTCCACTTTTTGACACCCTTATCCTGGGAAAGGCTGAAGAAGTAAAAGGAATGTCCAAATTCCTTTTTGGAAGGGTCAGTGAACTTTCCGATATTCCCAAACCTTACCTTACCAACGGAGCAAGGCATTTGTGGACGATGGTTGAGTTTCATAATATTCCTAGAAACGTACCTATTATACAGTATGTACAGCTGCGAATACTAACATCTAGCATTTATGGATCACTTACTGTGTGCCAAGTATGGTCGCAACGCTTCACAAGTATGAATTCATTCACTCTCCTTGGTTATTCTCTCTATGTTTAAAGAGCAACGGTTAACTGACCAATGAATGCTGACTGTTTTCATCCAGCCTCCTCATCCAGATGGTCTCTTTCTGTCATTGAGACTCTTCTGTCCTGGGGAATCCATCCCATTTCTGGATTTCTGGATCACAGGGGTTGCTCATCTGGCCCTTGACCACACAGCACGTTGTGACAATTAATTATGGTTGTTTTGGGTCTCTGTCTGTGGTGCTGGCACATTTCCACACCACCCCCTTCTCTCCTACACACCTTTTCCCCCAGTTGTAATAAAGGATATACACCACATATATGATTTGGTATTTGCAGAATAATTTTTAATATCATAGAATCATGAGCTTTTGGGAGAAGAAAGAACCTCACAAAACATTTTGCTGTTTGTAAAAAAAAAAATCAATTAATTAACATATAGTGTATTATTAGTTTCAGGGCAGAGTTTAGTGATTTATCAGTTGCAATAACACCCAGTGCTCATCACATCACATGCCCTCCTTTATGCCCTTCACCCAGTTACCCCACGCCCCCCACTCACTTCCCCTCCAGCAACCCTAGGTTTGTTTCCTATAGTTAAGCGTCTTTTATAGTTTGTCCTTCTTCCTCTCTAATTTCACCTTATTTTTTCCCTCGCTTCCCCTAAATTAAATTCCACATATGAGTGAAATCATATGATAATTGTCTTTCTCTGATTGACTTATTTCACTTAGTATAATAACCCTTAGTTCCATCCACATTGTTGCAAAAGATTTCATTCTTTTTGATGGCTGAGTAATATTCCATTGTATGTATATGTGTACATGTATACACATTCTTTTTTTTTTTTTTTAGTACTGTAACAGAGAGTCCTTTCTTTTTATTCCAGGAACAAGACAAAGTGGCACCTGTCACTATAGCATTGAACAATTTTATGATGCCCAAAGTATGGCAGATAAAATACAGTATGATAGCAAGGCAGGAGGATACAAAGTTAACGATCACAAGTTAACTGCCTTCCTAGGTACCAGAAATAAACAAGCAAAGTAAAAATTAAAGACAAAATACCATTTACATTAGGACTAAAACAAAAGGAACCATCACAGACACTTGTGGCAATTCATGAAAGGTCTGTAATGAAGACATATCATTAACAGATTTTCAATCACGAGTCCAAAGTCCATATCAAATAATTTCATCAAGAAACAGAAAATTAAAAAATCATATAGACTGAACAAGCTGAAACAGGTTGTTCCACAGATATCCCTGCTCCTTTGACACCCTTCATCTCATGAATTTTAAAACATTTTGACTTTTAATTTTCCTGCAGAGTTTAACACTTGATTTAATTAATCTTCAAAAATTAGACTTAGTTCATACTACTAGAAGTCTCTGATTGTACATTGCAGGTTAACATTGCTTAACCAACGTACCAGCACTCATTATATTAGTAGGGTTTTCTCGTGAAATCTTTGGTGAATCCTGAGAACAGGCCATGGCATGAAAGCTGTGCTACATTCTTTGGTGAGGTTTCTTTGCACTATGAATTCCCTTATGACTCCAAAGGTGAGAATATTTAACAAAAGCCTTACCACAGGCTTTACATCTATATCTTCACTCTATGTATATTCTGGTATCTACTCAAGCTTGAACAGCGCTTAAAGGATCTGCCATATTCGTGACATTTGTAAGGTTCCTCTCTGGTATGAATTCTCTCATGACTCCAAAGGTATAAATATTTAATAAAGGTCTTACCACTTTATATTTGTATCTTCTCTCTATGTGTATTATGGTGTTTATTGATGCTTGAGTAGTGCTTAAAGGCTTTGCCACATTCGTGACATTTATAAGGTTTCTCCCCAGTATGAATTCTTTGGTGAACAGTGAGGCTTGCATTCTGACTAAAGGCCTTGTCACATACATTACATTTATAGGGTTTCTCCCCATCATGCACTCTCTTATGTTGAGTAAGATTTGAACTCCTGATAAAGGCTTTGCCACACTCATTACATTTGTAAGGTTTCTCTCCAGTATGAATTCTCTCATGACTCCAAAGGTATGACCGTGTGGTAAAATCCTTACCACAGTGATTACATTTGTAAGGTTTCTCTCCAGAATGGATTCTCTTATGTTGAGCAAGATTTGAACCACTAGAAAAGGCTTTGCCACACTCAGTACACTTATAAGTCTTCTCTCCAGTATGAATCCGCTCATGACCCCAAAGCTGTGAAGGTATCATAAAATTCTTACCACATACATTACATCGAAATGGTTTCTCTCTAGTATGAATTCTCTTATGAATACAAAGGTGTGAATGTGTGGCAAAATCCTTGCCACATTGATTACATTTGTAAGGTTTCTGTCTGGAATGGAAATTCTTATGTTGAGCAAGATATGAACCATCAGAAAAGGCTTTGCCACACTCATTACATTTGTAAGGCTTCTCTCCTGTATGAATTCGCTCATGACCCCAGAGATGTGACCGTGTGGCAAAATCTTTACCACAGATATTACATTTATATGTTTTCTCTCCTGTATGGATTCTCTGATGCCTTGTATGGTTTGAGAACCTCTTAAAGGCTTTGCCACACTCGTTACTTTTGTAAGGTTTCTGCTCAGAATGAATTCTTTGATGAGTAGCTAAGGTTGAACAATGGCTAAAAGCCTTCCCATACTCATTACATTTGTAAGGATTTTCTCTATTGAGTACTCTCTGGTGGTGTGTCCGTGATGAAGGATGCATAAGAACCTTCCCATAATTATTAAAAATGTTGGTTTTGACACTAGAAGGAATTTTTTGAAGTGAAACTGAAGTCTTTCTGGTAGACTTCTCAGCTTGATTACTTTCATGAATTTCCTCTTGGGTTTGAAATCTCTGTAGCTCAGCCAGATGTGAATGAAAGCTTAATCCAAGCTTATTGTCCAAACAGTCTCTGTACTTGCTTCCTGAAGAGCCTGCCTTGTTTTTCAGTGCCTTATTCGTCGTATCATGTTTGTAATATTCAGAGGTACTTCTTCCTATGGAAACATTATGCTTTACAGGAAAATGATTACAGAATTTATGATGTTGTTGATGTTTTCTATAGGTGAGATTTTTGTAATGGGTTGCAGTGTCTTCATAACCTTTTCCTTCATAAAGCCACTGAGTCTCAAATTTGTTTACATCTTGGACCCTCCTCAAATCAAAATCATTAAACTTATGAATTATGTGTCTTTCCAAAATTAATGTTTGGAATAATTCTCCATTATTAATGTCTTCTTTTGGTGGTAATTCTTTGCTCATACATCTAGTAGAGATCTCCAGGGAGACCAGGTTCTGGTAGTTCTCCACCATCACGTCCCTGTACAAGGCCCTCTGGGCAGGGCCTGGGCACTCCCACTCCTCCTGAGAGAATTCGATGGCCACATCCCTGAAGGTCAACCATTCCTGAGAAAGAGTCATTCCTGACTCCTGGGCTTTCTTCTTCTCCCTCTTCTGGGCTTCTCTCCCAGCAAGATGGGTCTTGAGACATCAGTCCGTGGTGGGAGGCGTGGTTGAAGGGCCTCGAATGTGCGTGGAGACCCCAGACCTCAGGGGTGAAGGCCTGGGGACTCATGTATACACATTCTATATATTCCATATGTATATTCCATTGTGTGTGTGTGTGTGTGTGTGTGTGTGTATCACATCTTTTTTACCCATTCATCTATCCATGGACATCTGAGCTCTTTCCATATTTTGGCTATTGTAGACATTGCTACTATGAACATCGGGGTGCAGGTGCCCCTTTGAATCTCTATGTTTGTATCCTTTGAATAAATACCTATTAGTGCAATTGCTGTGTTGTAGGGTAGCTCTATTTTTAACTTTTGAGGAACCTCCATGCTGTTTTCCAGAGTGGTTGTACCAGCTTGCATTCCTGTTTTCCTTTTTGTGGGTATGGAAACTTGGGCCCAGAAAGATGAGATTATTCGCTCAAGATTATATTATATTTGCCTCAATTGTTCAGCTGGTATTCTTCTCCAGAAAGGCTGCTTTCACATCCCTTCTCATCACTCCATGCTCAGTAAAAAGAAAAAGGATTTCATCCTAAAGCTTTTTTCAAATCTTGAAGTGGATAAAAGGGAAGTCAGTCTCTTTTTCTCCTTCTCTCCCTCTCTCTCTCTTCATTTATCTATCCTTCCATCATCTAAATTGCTTAGGTAAGTTCTTTTCAAAGTGAAGCAGAGCATAACTTTTACACAATCATACCTGTCACATTGCCGATTAACACGGAGGTCTCCATTGATCATGTGAATATCCTATTTACAGATGTTACAAATGATGAAAAATGCAGTAACTATTTGCAAGAATCACATGCAGTTCTGTGCATTTTGCTATTGAATCACAGAATTTTGTGATTTGGGGGGCATTTATGTCCCTTTTTGAAGGGTTGAAAGTTTTAAGATGTGTGCAAATTTTTAAGTGATGTATGAGAACTCTGAGAGGCCATAGAAGAAATGCTAATGAAGAAAGATGGAATGGACTGTGAAACATTATCAGTTTTGATGATGATGAAGATGGGTAGGAAACTTGAATAATGGGAAAAATAGAAGCATTAAGAAGAGTAAAATGCAGTAGGTGATCAAGCAGTGTATAAGCTTTAGAGCATTGTATAGAAAATTGGTTAAAGCCAAGAGTTTGCAAATAAAAGATTCAGGGAACAAGCTTTTCATATATTGAATAAAATCTCTCAAGGAAAAGGTTTCTCTGGGCCTACTGTCTGAGGTAGTGACTCACTAATACAATCATTGTGTATATACATGAAGAAAATAACCCACGAAGTATACGCTAAACAGCACAACTCAGCAACGACTTTCCTATCGCAGGATGCCAAGATGAAGTCACCACCTGGAAATGGTACCGGTTACTTTCAAATATTTTGGCTGGAAAAGCAAATGCATCAATATTTTATTAATAGCTATTAAGTTCTGCTTAATGCATATGTTATATACAGTGAATGGCTAAGTTATTGTTAATTCCCATATGGAGGAACAAAAACTCCAGTGGGTGTTTATCCCCACATGCTGCGATACTGACCAAGTCCGGAGTGACCTCAGAGTGAGAAGAGTTGAAGGAGGGATAATTGGATAGTTAGCTTTCTTTCCTAGGGCTTTCCACTCCTTCCTTTGACCTCGGGATCAAGGTTGAGTTCATGAGTCAAGTTGTAGGTGGAACACTGATAAACTTGAGGATATATGGGACATTGGTGGGAAAGCAGTGAGGATCATGGGTGATCTAGTGACCAAGTCATAGAATGAAAGATTGAAGGAGATGGATTCATCATGCAACAGAAAATAATGGTGCTCCTGCAATGTACCAGCTACTGAATTGCACTCTAGGGATACAGCAGTGAGCAAGGAATTAGATTGCCCTTCTTCATGGAGCTTCAGTTTAGTGGTCGAGACACACAAGTGAATAGATGATTTTAATGTAGTACATTAATATTTATGGTATGGATTAAGAGCGGAATGCCATGGGAGGGGTGCCCGATTTAGCTTTGTGAGGGGGATGGTGGGGAACCAGTCTGAAAAGATGAGAGAGATGATCCAGTTGATGGAGAATGAGGGCATGGTAGGAAGAGGGCATGGATCGGAGTCCACGTGGGAGAGCAAGACGGGTGGGAACTCAAAGTAAATCAGAGTTTGATGGGTACTATGTAAAAGGGAAGGAATGGTGAGCAATGTGCCTGGAGGAAAAAACAAGGAACCAATAGTAAAGGGCTAATAAGGGTTTAAAATTTGAGATTTATCCAAGCTATCTGAAATTTCTTTTAAAAGATGTTTATGCTGGAAGTATTATTAAGGATAATGTATTGAAAATGGATTGAAGGAGACAGAACTGGAGGCAGGAACATCTCCTAGGACACTGGGAATAATTCAAGGGGGAGGATGTAATGGAAGTGAGACTGGGGGGGAATGGGCAGGTACTAGAAATATTAAGGAAGTGGACCTGGCACAATTGATGCTTAATAAGATGACAGGCAGATGTCTTCAAATATTTGAAAGACTTTCATTGGAGGTTCTTATGGCCCCAGGGCAGAAGAGATACCATTGGGTGGGATGGAGTTTTATAAACAGACAGAACTTCTAAACAACGAGCATTGTTCAGCAATGGGATGGGCTGATTTAGGAGGCCATGAAGTCCTGGTAATCACTGGATCCCATGGAGATTCAAGTAGAAGTTTGGACAAATGCCTGTCAGGGATGATGTCAAGGATATTCCTATATGGCACCTGGTGTAGGGATTTTGAACGTCTACTTGAATTCCGAGATTCTGTCATGGTTGACATGACTTCATGGGCATCCTCTAACACTGTCTCCAGGCAAGTAATAATGTCCTGATATTCACCTAGCACTCTTAGCTTGTTGGATGTACATTTCTTATTCTGAAATGGAGGCATTTGAGGAAACAGAGAAGGACAAAGAGGAAATTAAAGTATTAAGACTTGCTTTTCTCTACCAAAGCCATTTCAAACTTGCGTTCCATATCTGCCCCCCCCATGATGACTCTAGGAGGCAGTGATGAGGTCAGGAGTGAACTCAAACCTCTTAGCTTCTAATTCACTGTGCTCTGCCCACTGGATTTGTTGATTCCAGATGTTAAGATCTGGTTGGGACAGACTTTAATAGCATAAAATCCATGAAGTTTCTTAACTCTGGTATCCTCCAGATATTGCTGAAACAACAGATCAATAGAACCTAAACCAAATAAAACACTGAGGAAAATTCCACAACAATCAAATCACAGTGTGGATACCTCAGTTTAGGCAATGAGTTCTGAAGAAAAGAAAAAGCATTCATCCCTAGACTGAACTCTCCGACTCTTTCTCTAAAGAGTCTTTCCTTAGGGATCCTCAAGTCTCTTACACATGAACTCCTGTTGGAAACCCCAACTCCTGTTGGGGTTTCTTCAATATTAGAAGAATTGGGTCATCTTCTTTCCTTTCCCTCTGTTCTAATTTGTAAGAGTTGCCTTGCCTAGTGCAAGCTACCTGAAGGTTCAAACTTTTATGAAATTGAGACTTGGGTATATATATACACAGATTTTTTGAGGTATCAATAGTTTGACTAAAATGGGCATATTTTGGGGTGCCTGGGTGGCTGTGTCAGCCAAGTATCTGACTCTTGATTTCAGCTCTGGTCACAATCTCAGGGTCATGAGATCGAGCCCCACGTCAGGCCTGCTTAAGATTATCTCTCTCCCTCTGATCCTTCCCCCCTACTTGTGCACTCTCTCTCTCGGAAAAAAAAAAAAATTAAAAAAAAAAAAACAACTAGGTGTATTTCATGGCAGACTTCAGAGAATAAAATCTCTAACAATTTCTAGGAAACCATCTGTATCTTTACTTTGTGAGTCTTCATTCAAAGCAGAATTTGCCTTTCATGTCAGATACTCAAATTCCCCTGTCAGCCTCTTTTGCCTCTGCTTAGTAGGCAACAGGATCAAGTCCACCAGTAGAAGGTGCCCCAGACTCTGAAATGGAAACTAGTGAAGACCAACCAACACCATCAACCATGGTGACAGTGGCAGAGAAGTAGGATGGAATTTCCAGGGAAGTGACTGATGGCAGTGAGGGTCATGATGGTCTCCAGGACCTCCTACCAACTGTCTAGTGGTTCAAGCTATGTCATCTAGAGCTTGAAGGCATCGATCATAGAGACCTCACTGGTTCCTAGACCTGATTTGAGGTGTTGTTCCTGCCTGCATTGTTTGTGAGTCTGGTTGTCATCCTTTTTTGGTGATTATGTGAACATAATCAACATGCTTGTAACACACTTTTTCCTCTGTATCAGCCAGAATTGATTTCCATGGCTGCAATTAATAAATCTGATCAAAAGAGAATAGTGCAAGGGAATTTTGTCTTTTTATGATCTAACTCTAGAGGAGTGAACATGACAAAGATTGCATTGCGAAATGCTTTTTCTGTTCACTGTTTAACTCTCTCTAATATAATAACTGTTCACATGACATATAGGAAACAGGCTACGCAGAGTTGACTAGAACCGAGGTGCTTACTATTCTGTTACTCTAAGTGGGCAAAAGATTCAGGAAAAAAAAATGTATAGTTGGAAACTAATTCAGACTAAAGTGTAAATTATTCGACTCTATGACTAATTTTACACCTGAAAATAGAAATTTATATTTCAACCAAATCTTTAATTAAGGCACAGTGAAAAGATTTTAGCAAGTTAATTGGGCAAATTGTTTCATTCCACTTCAAATATCCTAGTTATCCAGAGAAGAATTCCACATAGGAACAGATATGAAGAAAGGGAAGTGCCTCTCACTTCCCAGAAGCACTTCCTTCGCCAGAGCATCCCTTAGAGAATAGAGTCCTTTGATCTGCTTTGGACTATGGAATCAGATTCAGGTTGCTAAATATTTAAATATCCTGGCATACAACCCTGGATCTCCCTGCCACAAGAGAACACCAGGAGCTTTGACCTAACACGGTGAAGTTACCCTGCTGACACCTTGGCTGCTTCAAGTGAGTCGTGGA